ACTCCATTAGTGGAATCAAAGATGTCACTAAACACACTGTAGTCAAGTCAAGACAGATTTCTTTGTATAGAACATTTAAAAGACATCAAGTGTCAAGGTGTTGAACAGAGAGATAATCTAAGTAAATAAAAAAATAAATGAGGTAAAGACAATACTACAAGATTCATTATGCAAATGTACTGTTTATAAGATTGGGGAAACCTGCAGTCAGCTGAGACTGAAGAAGTCACTTGGATGAGTGACGAAACGTTTCTCCCACATCCAGATGAACAGAATCAACTTTTGGAGCAATAACTTGGTATTCCATGTATGCCCTGCCTGCCAGCATCTTGCACCCTGCTGTTAAGTGCTGGAGTCATCTTTACACCCTCTTCACCTGGGGTCTTGCCTGGTATAATAGACCCCATTCTCTATCGATCTTGTGCATAGAGCATGCTCCTGTGCCGCCATGATTAGTGCCTCTGTGCTGTCTTTCAGTCCAGCTTTGTCCAGCCACTGGTAGGACTTCTGGATGTCAGCCACTTCCTCTATCTGCTGGTGGTACATACCGTGTAGGGGCCTGTCCTTCCATGATGGTTCCTCCTCTTCCTTGGATTTCTGCTGCCCGAGGAACTCACTGAGCATGAGTTTTAAAAAAATCTCAGTTTTCGGTGATTCAAAACGCCGTTTACGTGTGGACGAAACAGTGTAGGTGCAGACGTAGCGTAAAAGAGTTAGTAGTTTATTTTATTACTGCCTGTAATTTATTGCAGATTACTTGTATTTGCTTAATTGTTTACTAAATGTTTGAGGTGTGAAATAAACCACAACGGAGCAAAATATGGGTGTGTGTGGTTGGAGGATGTGTTTGTGCACACGCGAGAAGGGGGGGCGCAAACATTTTTCTTGTAAAACAAGGGGGGCCCAGCAAAAATTCATGGTCCTACACAGATTACATATCTCAAGTTAGCAACATCCCATACAGGAGCTGCCCCCTGTGTAACAGACTGCCATGTGTGTGCATGCGTGCTGATAAAATATGATCTTTGTGCTTTCTTGTAACTTCTGTGGTTTTGTTTGTGAATGTAGATTTTCTATTTATGGAGGATGGAAAAGATAAAGCTGCTGGTAACAACCAGCTGTGCACAGTTTCAATAACAGTGTAACTGAGATATTTTTTTCACCTTTTGTGTT